AAGTACGTGGAAAGAGGGCGGCACTGGGCACTGAAAGCACAGAAGGTTACCTGAAAGATGGTGTGGTACTGCCTTCAGCATTTAATACTAATCGCATCAAGTAGTAGAAACATAGTCAAATGTATTCACATTATTTTCTTGAATATTTTAGCAGTAATACTTTTACTTGTACTACAATATAGTTACTTCTATGTATCTATCTCGTTAGCCTGTAACACAAAACCATTCATCGGACAAACTGCTAATACGTTAGTGTACACTAAAAGCATTTTCACTAATTTGTTTTAACGCATTTCTCTTTATTTATCTGTTTCTTTTATTTTTCTCATTTTTTATCTGTTCACATTAAAGCGTTAAATACCATTCTTCCAAAAAAAAAACGTACTGAAGCGTAAAATTTTCTTCTTATTTCAGTATCATTTCTACTGCTTTTTTCTTTTCATTGCTTTTTTGTTTTTATTTTTACGAATCAAATATTACTCAAAGTACTTGCTTTCATTTGCACCTCATTAAACTTTAAAGTAGACTGCAATGTCCTTTCTTCCTGCTTATTGCAGAACTTCCTTGAACTTTCTATTGTACAAGGCGGTAAATACAGACAAACGTATGTAAGTAGCACTGCTATGAAAGCAAAAACTTTCGATTGCAAATGGCAAATATACAACGGCATATGTACCTACGTACATATGTATGTATTTATGTTACGTATGTATATATCGTTGCCGTAATATAGAAAAGCCTTAACTAATTTTCTTTCGATAATCAGCTTTGCACAAAGGTCGGTAGATTACTCACTAAAGGTCTAATAGAATTTAAAAACATCAATAAATTAGTAGCAGAATTTTGAAGGAATTTTCAACTGACGAACTTAAGTTTTTATAAAATTTTGTAAATACTTGGTAAAAACACACACATTTTAGATATGGCCTTTCTATACTGAGGTAAGGATATTTAGGTGCAATTTGTTATACTTATATACAATATATATGTATGTAGATGTGTATTTATTATACAGCTGATACTACTACTAGAGATGGGCGGGCGACTTACCGACGGCAACTTTCGAATCACGCACATTTTTTTGGGCATTTTGGGAAATCAAGTTTGAAAGCTTTACGAGACTTAACTATACACTTATGTAACTGACATTGTAAAATAAACCCCACATGGTATAACGTCCAAAGGTTAATCACGTCAACACAATAACCCAAGATTGGTAAATTCGCATATTCATGCTTCTAGTATAACGGTGACGATATGTATACAAAATTAACCATTGGATTGTGGTAACTGAAATAATTTAGATACATATGAAAAATTTTATTCGAAAATTTTTCTTTTTCCTTGTTTTTATCTTTATTTGTCTTTGCCGCAATATTAACCCATATGGGACCGACGGTTTTTTTATAATATCTTGATGGATTTCCATACTGGGGTAAATATGGGTAGCTAAACTCGAATTTATTGGAAACAAAATTTTGCGATTTTTAATTTTCGAACACTGGGTCTAACCAAATTTTTATTTTATTTTATTAAAAAAAAAAATAAAAAATATGTGAAAACAAAATATTCATGGAGCACATAATTAGCTCTATATTTAACCGAAAAATGAAATCAATCGAACTGTTGGTCCTGAAATATAAGCATTTAAAGAGAGTGTCGTTACGTGACAAAAAATGGAAGTTGATTTTTTCTTTTCTTACAAAATCGCAAAACTGCGAATTGTGGATGGCTATTTTCATGAAACTTATTTTAATATGATTTGGAGCAATTTTAGTTGGTTTTAGAGTTTTTTGAATTAATGCAAATTGTTTCAATTCTCTTTTACAACCCTTAAGTGTGAAACGTGACGTGACGTGGCGTCACGTGACATAAATTTCCATCGTTATATTTTTGTTAATATTGCTTTAAAATGAATTTTCAACGCAAATAAAACATGTATTTTATGTAGAATATACTTTATATTTTGACTTCAGCGCCAATTCAGGGTCAATTTATTAGAAATCTATGATTTATTATGTTTCAACCACATACGCCAAATTCGAACCAAATCGGACCATAAATACGGTTTTTCGAAATATCTCGACCTTGGCACCACCTAGGAAGACCATTTTATGCAAACATGATTCTACTTACATAGCCAGTATATATTTTAAAAAGCAGACAAATCGGCCCGTAAATACGTTAGATATAAAACTTTTATTTTTTTTTGTCGTGGTGGACCTTCCGCTGGAAACACCCATATACGATGAAAAAAGTTTAAAATAATTATGTGGCGATATGGATACTCAACATTGTCCCGCTGCCCCTAAGACGTACAGAGACTTCAGTAGATTTTTCAACCACGAGTTGCGCCCAGCGTTTGATAAGTCTAACACGTAACTTTACACATTTTTATCATAGAGCTGCCCGTTATATTGACTTTACAAAAAAAAAATATAATTAACATTTTGTTTTATTTGCGAGAGAACTTCATGCAGTTATTTTTTAATATTATTTTTTTGATTCATAGTAGATAAATTTCTTCATATCTTTTTTAATAGCTTTCATAGCATCGCGTAGCTTAAGACAGCTGTAGAGGTGAAAATTTCTATCGAAATCTAGCTCCGAGATAGTACCATACCTTCGGACCTTTAAAACCACCAAAAAAGCGATTCACTTTTGAAAATATACACAAAATTACAGACCTTCGCAATGTGAGAGGCTTTTTTTTTAAGTATAGAAAATCAACTTAAATATTTTTGATTTTCAGTAAGATTATAAATTGATTTCTGAACACTGTTACACCCCACAGTAAAATTTAGGACATACAAAAACTTTTCAGTCGGAGCTTTGGAGATGTCTTTTATGTTAAAAAGTTACTTGGAAAAGTTTTCTGGAAATCCGGGAATGAATTCGGTCCACCTAGCTTGTTCCACACGACACACTATGCGTCAGGTTGGTTGAAACCAATAAACTACCAAGAGGAAAAATACCTCTAACTTTGGCAAAAAAATGGCAAAAAAAAGGTTGTAACTAATTAATAATAATTACGGAAATTAGTACAAATTTTATACAAATTCTTGCAAATAACTTATTTCCTTGCGCCAGAAGCAGTAAAAAAGAAAGCAATTATAAGTTAATAAATATAAAGGAACAATGAGATGACTAAAACTAATCGCCTAAGTCCTTCGTCACTTTAGTACTTAACATACTCTCAGAAAAGTATTTTTTTTTTAGTTCATTTCACCATCGCATAAAAGCACCCAGCAAAGAATTTTTATTTTATTTTTTTTTGTGCCTTTTTATGACAAAAAAGCTTGTTGTAAATGATTTTAGAGTATTTCATTAATTCCTCCCAGTGGTATGCCGCTCTTCTGCTTTCGCATTCGCTTGTTTAACACGCCAGCCACCATGGGCACTTGAAGATAAATTATGTACAGCTTAAGTGTCAAGCTTGTCTTGTTTTTGTTGCTTTTATGCTATGTAAATTGTTTGTTTGCTTGTTTATTAGCACAACAAAAGCAGTCGAAATAATTATAGATACACACACAGACGCATACAGTGAAACACAACAAAACAGGAATTCAAAATAAAAAAGGACGAAACCACAGACGTCACGCAGGCTTAAACGAGCGGCAAGCCAAGTCTGCATTACTCGGCGGCGCCCGTTGCTACACCAGATACCAGATACCGCAGTTTATTCGGATTTTATTATGATTATTATTTTTGTATGTAGCAAAAATTTGAGGCTTCCCGCTGTTGCGACTGACCTCATAAAAAATCGCTTGCCTTTGGCGGCCCTTCGTAACCACAACAAAGTTTTGCGGTGTACATATTAAAGTTGCGTAAATTTCCTGCTTGGTTGTTGTGGTTGTGATTTTGTTGTTGTTGTTGTTGTTGTTGTTGCTGGCAAAGCACATAAAACTTGTCAATTAAATCGGCATTGTGTTGTCATTAAGTTGAATGAGCGCTCAAGTTTTCGCTGCTTTGCTTTTAGTTGCCTTCTGCGTTGCATACTCTGTGGCGCACAACGGCACTTTTGTACGCTGCTGCTGCTATTGCCTTTGTTGTTGCAGTCGCTAGTGCCTTTTTACTATGTTTTATGTTGTTGTTATTGCCTTGCTGCTGTTCTTCTAGTTGTTGTTGTTGTTCTATTTTTTCAAGCACTCTAAGCTTGCTCATTCGCCATTCTGCTTTGTATGCAAACAACTTGTATAACCCATTTGCCTTTTCACGTCGCCTTTCAAGCACAATAGAGCGCAAACATCAGCGCGCCAGCACAAACATAAGCACAAGCGCACTTACACACACATACATACATCACATACATAGATACCTGCTCGTGCGCCTCAGCATATGCAACATGCATACATACAAATTCATTCATTCATGAGATGGAATTTCAAGTTAACACTTCGATGCGCTGCCACAAAATTATACTCGCTCGCGCTGCGAGCTTTCACTGCCAACTTGCCTATATATGTATTTATGTAGTATGGCAAGTAGCATATTTCACATCATTTTCCTATTTTTTATTTATGTTTTCTGTATTTTATTTTTCGTACTTGAACTAGTGGTTTTCGCCCCAGTGAAGCACCCGTAAATCACGCATCAGTGGTAGCCGAGTTCCCCAACTGACGACTGACTGACTGACTGGCTATTCACGCCACTATAGCTGTGCCAATGAAAGTAGTACCATCCATGCTTGTCACTCACTCACACACCCGCCTACTTACTGGTCGCCCACTTACTGAATCGCTCACTCGCGACACTGTTTTAATGTACGAGTATATATGTATGTACATACATATTTATGTAGAGATCTACAAGCGCTAAGGTAACTTCTTCATTTTGCATATTTTTCACATAAATTACTACTTTTCCCACTATACACGTTTTTTTGCGTTATGCTATTTTTTTTTTTTTACTATTTTTCGCATCTCTCGTATTTTTCGTATTTTCTACAATTTCCACAAATTGCTGAAAAAATTTTACCATATTTTTTTTTTTTTTTTCACCTTTTGCACACCTAGTATTTTGCTTTTGCTGCTGTTTTGCTTTTGCTTGCTGCTATTGCTTTTGCTGAATGTACATATGTTTTGTTTTTTTTTGCTTCACTTTAGTTTTGCTACTGTTGCTACTTTTCTGTAATAGTTATACCCCAACTTTGCTCTGCATCTTTGCATGCCTGCTCACCAACAACTTCTTCACAACAGCTGGCACAGTAATACTAGTAGTAAGTATTTCGCGCTGTGCGGCACTTCGTTAGCTTCCTTTCGGTTGTCGCGAGCAACTGAATTCGTTTCTCTGCCAGCATCGCCATTTAAGATAGAAAATGTTTGTGTACGTGCTCCGTTATCCGCCTGACCCGCTTGCTTTGCCACCAGTTATCCTTTGCTGCTGCTGCGCTATTGAGCTTTCGAAAAGCTCTCCCATGCGGGTGGTTCTAAGAGTTTCAAATGCGTTAAATGTTAATTTTCTACTCTTTTTATAGCCAATCACATGCACAATGGTGTAGCAAGTTGTGTTTAACCAGAAAAAAGCCAAAAATACTGGGTACACTTTCATTTGTCGTGGTCACCTGTGTCTGCTTGCATTGTTGTTTCTTCTTCTATTTGTCATACAAATGTGTGTCTCACGGCTGAGTGGAAGGTTAGTCGTGCTTTGTTGATGCTGTAATATATGTGTGTGTGTGTGTGTGTGGGTGTGGGGGTGTGGGGGTTCGCGTACGCGTCCCTATGCGTTGCTGATGCAATGCAGCTGGTGATTTCTGCTTGAAGAAAACGCAACAAATGGTGGATAATGGCATTGAGGTGACAGATCAACTGGATTGTATTATTATGTTGTCAGAAGCCAAAGTTATTATTTTTTATCAAAACTATGACCATGTGCTTTTTATTTGTAACGCTTTTGTGCTGTACGTTTAGCTAAACAAGCTCACGTTTACACAGAGCCACCTAATAAATAGAACAAAAGGTAGGAGATACATATCTCCATGATTTTTCTTCAAGAAGAAAGCCTTCTTATTTATACGGATATTTAATAATACTTGGCATAAATACTTACATATGTACAGAAATATGTATGTATTTAAATGAATTAAAGACGATTTCACATAAAACTGAGCTAAAATTTTTTGTTTTTGCATTTTTCTTTTCAGCTGATGGTCACTTGGCCGCCTAAAATCAAAAAATTCCTGAACGAAAATATATTGCTTTGGCCAATATATATGAGGTAACGTTACGTAAATTAAGTATATACTAACCGAATCTTAAATAAAAAATTATTTTAAAGTGTTTATATTTTATATGTAAACTGACAGAAATAAAAAAATATTTTCCATTGAAATTGCTGGGAAAGCGAGTATTAGTCTAGAAACTTTTCATAGAGAAAATTTTCCTTATTTAGACAGCTGAAATCTTTCTCTGTGTAATATTCGCAAAGCGAATGGGTCTGCTAGTAAACGAGGACATGACGAAGTATGTTCTGTCTTCAAAGAAACAGTCAGCGCATTCGCGCCTTGGCACTCACATCACTGTTGACAGTTACATATAATTTCGAGAAAGTAGAAAATTTCGTTTACTATGAAACCAGCTTTATTATTATTTATTAGTGATACATATTATTTTATTAGTGATACATTTTATTTATGGTGATACATATGTATTTCTCTTACCTAATTCCCTTAATTCAAACTGAATTTGATTTTTTTAAATAGATGGCAACCCTCCTATAGTTAAGCTAAGAAACAAAGCTTTTCAAAATCATTTCGATTGATACCCAGTTTGTAAAAATTGATTTATTTTTTTTTTTTACTAATTTGAATATAATTTTTAAAAGGTGGCAACTCTTCAAAAAAATAATACCTTACTGCATATCTGCAGTCCAAGCTACTTAATTTGACACCTCATATTAGAAAATCAAACGAACGGTGCGGATTAGATGGCATTGATTACACTGGATCGCAAATTTTTGGTTTGGCCACTATCCAATTTCTATGTATTCCGAAAATGGAGTTAATTTTTTTTTATATGGATACGTTTTCGGGATATTTGCAATTTACCGTTATTTAGCTTAAAACAAATAGTGGTACCACTTAATCACGTATATCTTACGAACCAATTTAACAATCATAAATAATGAGACGTCAAATCAAAGCTAATGAAATTCTCCATATATACATCACTTTCCGATAGGACTGACAGTTTCTGGCAAATTTATTAATAGTTCCAGGATTTTATTTATTTTTTTATGAAAAAATGAAACTAAATCTAACTTTAACAGAAGAAAAATTTTTAAACTAACAGGCTCTGTGCCAAATTTTTGCATTTGCTAGCCGTTTTTGAACGAAATCAAGTTACAAATGAAGAAAATCGATCGATAAATAAAGAAGTAATGAGTGGTCAAATGAAAATACGCAAAGATTTTTTATTTGAAAAATGAGCAGGAAAGAATGTTACTCATACGCCACGTACACCTGAGTAACACTCCTTTCGGCTCAAATAGGAAGAAGAAGAATATAAAACTATAAAAATTCGACGAGTTTTAGCAAATTTTCATGAAAATTTTAAACTTTTCAATTCGATTTTTTAGAAATTTTTCAGTTTTCAGTTTTTTTTTTTTAAAGTTTTTCAGTACTTTTGTAGCTAGAACTTCGTACCGTTAATGTTTTGTTCACCCACTTTCTTCCATACAAAGTTCGAAAATTTTTTTGTATGGAGAAAATGAGCAACAAAAAAAAATTGCCAAAAATCAGGTATTCGCACTTTATTAAACTAAAATTTAACGGGCTACAAAACTGCGTACTCAGAAGGTTTCTTAGAAATTTAGATAAGATGCTCAAAATTTTGATAGAAATTTGTAGAATTTTTCTAATTTTTGTACTAAGTTTAAAATTTTCACTTACATGGTTTTTGTAAGATGACGAGCTTTCCCAGGCTTTGTAATTTTGAATGTTGTTATAGCCCTCTAGTTAGGTAAGTCTTTTATGTATTTACGTATAAAATAACATTCCTATCAATAGGTCTTTTAAGTATTTTTCCATTCGGTTAACTACATATTAATTAAGTATCAAACACTCGAAAAATAACTTATGGCTGTTGTTTTTGTATTACAATAATAAAATAAAATAAAATAAATAAGCTTCCACATTAAGAGCATTCCCTTATACTGGAAAGATATCAAAAATTTCCATTTTCACTGACAAGAAAATCTTACGAAAACCATGAATAGCGTACAAATGACACTTTTTAATAATAAGGAACATCGCCTACGAACCATCGTCTAGCATCGTGGCGTTGATTTGCTTTGTCATCTTTTTAGTATAAGTTTCTTGCTTGGATTTCCGCTTTACATAGTACATACTAACGTACCGGTGAATCTACATTGTAAATAGGTATAAGTACTGGCAAAAGAGGAGCTCAGCATTTCGGCTTTTGAAGCATTACATTCCTTTATTTCCGGTTGCTTTTCCTACACAAATTATATGTATAAATAGGCACATGAACTAATCTCGGTAAATCCTAAATCACCCACTCTTAACTGCGGATGCCTAATCAAATGAAAAGCAAGTGAATGCGAATGTGCCAAGAAGCTATGCTATTATTCATAGCTACACAAGTACATACATAAATTTGATGTACATACTCGTTTGTATGAATACCACTACAAATGTAGATGCGGTTTTTGCAGACGTTATTATGAATGTTTATTTGACTGTAATTCTAGCAGTTAAGCAAACATTATATGATTTATAATACAAATGCTTAAAAAACATATGTACATATGTATGTATGGATGCATTTAAGAATGTTTTTATGCATTGCACGTATTTACATCTGTATTAAGTGTGGTAAACAAATTGCTACCACACAAATATGCAAATTGTAGTACAGTCAAGCATACTCGTAGATATGCTTATGTCGAATCCATTCGAAGGAAGCCGCCGCACTCGAAAAAGGGTTACATTTGGAGAAGACTGCGTTGTTAGTTTGTCAAATACTCACATACACATATGTACAGTACCATTTCACTACCAATTTCATATGTTTTGTGCTTGACAGTTTGCCCGAATTGAGCATTTAATTTTTTTGCTAGCTTTTTACTGCATTATAATTTATATGGATGTATGAATGTATGTATGTATATGTATAAGGAGAACAATTGCTTATACAAAGAAAAATTATTGTAACGTTTAACAAATTTGCAATGAAAGTGCGCACGCTGTGCCTGAACCGGACAAAATGGCGAAAAAATTTATCAAAAATCGGCTTGATTGGGATGACTCGGTATCACTGCCCGATTAAAAATACATAGAATTTAAAATTGGAGCTGTTCCTTCTTTCGAAATATTTATCCTGGATCCTTTTTTCCGAAAGTTATTTTACTTCCCCACGGTCCGCACACTTTCTTTCTATTTACCTGATGGGAAAACTTCTTTTTCAGATGAGCCATCTTTTGATGTAACGCCAAAATAATTTAAATTTTAATAATTTCGCAGAACATTGCTTCAGACTGAAAACAGGTAAACTGTTACAAACAGAAAATACTTGAGAGAATAATTGCAATAATCAGTGTTGCACTGATTTTGAAAGTTAAAGCTGAACAATAAAAAAATACTGGAAAATTGTGTTATTGAAACAAATAATTGTGCCAAAATCAGTTTTTGCTGTTCAATAAATAAGTGACCTTGGGGTCAAGCTGCAGGGATTGTATTTCTAGGGATTGTAGTCGAAAGTTCAGAGCTTTATTTAAGCCTAAGTGGAAGCTTCTAACACTTTTTGTTTAATTCCAGTAAGTACTCAAAAATGTTTGCAGTTTTACCATAGTGTTGCATTTTTAGACAAAGTTGTGTATTGCAAAATGCTTTAGTGGATTTTGAACCGAACCGAACCGAACCGAACCATTTTTTGGGGACGGTTTCGGTTCGGTTTAGGCATTTCAAAATAAAAATGGTTCGCTTCGTGGTTCGGTTCGAAGCCCCAAAAAAGCGATGGTTCGGTTCAAAAACCGGTTCGGTTCAAAACCGGTTTGCAGCCCTGCTTAGTCAAATGGTCAAATGGCCTTTGCCGGTTCTGCGACTCTACCAGTGAAACACCACTGCGCACCCTTTATAGAGTGTGATGCAGTCTGCCAACGACGTGAGAGAAGTGTGCGTTCGATGTGGCCACAGCTTACGCACATTCACTCCCTATTCCCGAAAGCGCTATTGAACTTTCTGGGGGATAGAAACTAATTATCTATGCCATAGAGCACAACTGCACACCCGAATTCTATCCCATTCACCTGATTTCCAGGAAATTT